ATCACTGCAAAACACACACACACACACACACACACACACACACACACACACACACACACTTTAACTCAAATATTTCCATTACGTCACGTTTATCAATCTGTTTTGTATTTTTAAGCGATCTGATTGGTCTACAGCAGTGATAATGATTCCCATAATGCACAGCTGGCTGTTCTTTATTAGCTGTTAATGGCACTGTGGAGCAAATAGAATAATGTGTGTGTGTTTACATCTCTTAGAGTAAACATAAAGTATATATATAATAAATAATACATTTCAGGCACTAAGGCCATTTAAAGTTATTTAAATAAACGTTAAACAAATGAAAATAAAACTGGAAAATGTATTAAAATGACTGAAAAATAATCATATCATATATCATTTTTTTTAAATCATTAGTTATAGTTATAGTTAGTGTGAAAATATAAATGTAATTAATAAAACCCACATCTTCTGAACGCTCTCACAGCCGGAGAAGCTCGGCAGACTCTGGATCTGATTATAGGAGAGATCACTGCAGGGAGGAAAAAAGACTCAGTTATCATCTAGTCCAACACACCCTGAACGCATCACACCCTGAACGCATCACACACTGAACGCATCACACAGAAAAATATAATTAAAATATATCAAAAGCCACATTTTTCTTAAAGTTCTCTGCAATCAGTCCACGACTTTGATCAAGACAGAAGAATTAGCTTTTAGTTGAATCTTAAATCCAACCTCCTGATGTGGATGATGCTTAATTTAATCTGTATTTATTATGTATAGTATGTATTATTATTATAATGTAATGTATTATATTAAACTCACAGCAGCTGAAGGTTTGGAAGTTGTTCACAAACTGAACCGGGAAGAGACGTGATCCGAGCACCAGTGATAGTCCTGCACACAAATACATACATGGTTGTATTACGATGCATTCAGAGACCGTTAAAAAGTATTATGGTGCATTCAGGGACATTTAAAAAGCCGTATGGTGCATTCAGGGACATATAAAACGCCTTATGGTGGATTCAGGGACATTTACAAAGTATTGTGTTCATGAATGTGTTGCATTCAGAGACATATAAAAAAGCCTTATGGTGCATTCAGGGACATTTACAAAGCATTGTGTTGCATTCAGGGATATTTAAAAAGCCTTATGTTGCATTCAGAGACATATAAAAAGCCTTATGGTGCATTCAAGGACATTTACAAATTATTGTGTTGCATTCAGGGACATTTTAAAACGCATTGTGGTGCATTCAGGGACATGCAAACGGCATGTTTAGATGCATAACAATAGCACTAGGTAGTACTATGTTGCATTCAGGAACATTTAAAAAGCATTATGGATGTTCAAGGACATTTAAGATTTAATATATGGTACTATGGTGTGTTCAGAGTGTATAATGGTGTGTTCAAGGACATTTAAGGAGTGTTAAGAGTGTGTTATGATGCTTTTAAGGACATCAAAAGTGTATAAGGTTGTACTTTGTTGTGTTAAGAATGTATTATGGTGTGTTTAAGGAAAGTTAGGGTGTATTAGATAGTACTATGGTGTGTTCAGGAACGTATATGCTACAAATGAATAAATAGCTCCAGAACTGCAAGAAAAATCCAGTTTTTGGACATTTGAATGCGTACAACGTACATATCAAGGGGATTTATGGTACAATTTAGTCAGATTTCTTTGTATTCGACGTCCTGTAGAGACAGGAAGTTGGGGTACACAGTCACAACGGGGAGGATCATTTAAACTATGAAGAATGTGTGACGTTTGTTTGGTCGAAGTTTTTATTTCCACCTACTGGTTCAGTGTGAGGTTACTGTTAAACACACACACACACACACACACACATTTTCAGAGTTCAGAGTTGAAAATGGAAAACAAACAGTGCGATGTGTTTATTATGACGAGGAAACGACAAGAGAAAGTTACAGCAAATTATTAACAATAACACACGTCTGATTTCTGCGGCTACAACAGCAAACACACTCAGATATGAAGCATTCCTGTGTGTGTGTGTGTGTGTGTGTGTGTGTGTGTGTGGGGTGTGTGTGTGTGTGTGTGTTGTGTGTTGTGTGTGTGTGTGTGTGTGTGTGTGGTGGTGTGTGTGTCTGTGTGTGTGTGGGGGTGGTGTATGTGTGTGTGTGTGGGGGGTGTGTGTGGTGTGTGTGTGTCCTGTGTGTGTGTGTGTGTGTGTGGTGTGTGCGGGGGGGGGTGTGTGTGTGTGTGTGTGTTCTGTGTGTGTGTCTGTGTGTGTGTGTGGGGTGTGTGTGTGTCTGTGTGTGTGTGTGTATGTGTATGTGTGTGTGTGTGTGTGTGTATGTGGTGTATGTGGTGTATGTGTGTGTGTTGTGTGTATGTGGTGTGTGTGTGAGGGGTGTGGGTGTTGTGGTGTGTATGTGTGTGTGTGTGTGTGTGTGTGTGTGTGTGTGTGTGTGGGGTGTGTGTGGGGTGGGTGTGTGTGTGTGTGTGTGGTGTGTGGTGTGTGTTGTGTGTGTGTGTGTGTGTGGGGTGTGTGTGTGGGGGGTGTGTGTGTGGGTGTGTGTGTGTATGTGTGTATGTGTGTGGTATGTGTGTGTGTGGGTGGTGTGTGTGTGTGTGGTGTGTGTGGGGGTGGGTGTGTGTGTGGTGTTGTGTGTTGTGTGTGTGGGGGTGTGTGTGTGTGTTGTGTGTTTGTGTGTGTGTGTGTGTGTGGTGTGTGTGTGTGGGGGTTGTTGTGTGTCTGTGTGTGTGTGTGGGGTGTGTGTGTGTCTGTGTGTGTGGGGTTGTGTGTGTGTGTGTGTGTGTCTTACAGGCTCTCCAGGCTCTTGGTTCCCGTCAGATCTGGGAACTCGGTGAGATCTGCGGCTCCGTTCAGAGAGCTGAGAAACAGAAAGAGAGTTTGAGTTTATTTGTTTTAGAAACACAAAAATAAAGTGAATTTTCGTCCATTTTTGTTTGTATTGTTGGAGAAATTAGTGTCTGAATTTAAGGCGGAACCAAATGTAATTTATTGGAAATATTTGGTGCATTTATTTGTTTCCATATTTAATGCTGTTATGACGTTGAAGTTTCCTCACAGTGTTCGCAGCTCAGGCAGATCCTGAAAAGCAGACCGTCCGACAGACTGGATCGGGTTGTCATAGAAAAATCTGTAAAAACACAATACCATAAAAACCAGGGGGATGAAATTTAGAGAAACACAATTTAATCGAGGCCACGTTTTGGTTAATTTGTGTACAAGAGAGAACTATAGAAAAACAAAGTGATGATGCATCCATGTTGGATTTCTTTCTCCATATCTTCCCTTCTTTTGGTGTAATATTTGGACTCTTTTTTTTAGCCTTTAACAATTATTTAAAAACATTTATAATGAACCAAAACAACAGGTATTTTCTGCTGTCAAGTGGAATAATTAGGGAAATATTTTGGCCAAGTAAAGTTAGTTTAACCCGTGAGTCTATGGGTCGTTTTTACCAATAACAATCAAGAAATCAAGGCCACATGTTGGTTCATTTATGCCCTAGAGATAGCTAGAGTACATATCTTTGGTAATTACCATTTGTATGACCCTGAGATGTTTGTGAAGCGTAATAAATGTGATGTGTGGTACCTACATGGTGATCAGAGAGGGGTTCCCGATGAAGGCTTGCTCCGGGATCGACTGGATGTTGTTACTGTGAAAACCACTGGACAGGAAACACAAGACAAATCCGTTTTAATCTCTCCATTGTAGGTAAAGAAGAAATAATAATGGAGTCTTGTGATGGGGGTTATATGCTTATTAGAACTTAACTTCGCAAACAACTTTTGAAAATACATTGCGTCCAACAACCCAAAAACCTAAGAATAAAAACACTTTTCTTACAATTAAGAGTATTTTCTTTTTCTATGATAAGGGACAGAGTTAATATGTTTAATGTGTACTGTATATAGATAGATAGATAGATAGATAGATAGATATATGGATAGATACATAGATAGATACGTACTTTATTGATCCCAATTTGGGAAATGGTTGCGTATTAATCCAATTGGTCTTATTTTCATATATTTATTTTCTATAAACCCTTATTTAGAAAAACCGTGATATTGCTCTTCAATTTTATACATGAAAAGTCAATGTTTTAACCTGAAATAATCAAATCCTGTGAATTATTAGGGAATATTTTACATTAAACATCCAGTTAAGGCCCTGTTACACTGTCCCGAAATTGACACCCGATGGACACACGAATATGGAATTGTGAATTTCGCACGAAGATGGCCCCGAACCACACCCGAAGGCAACATTTACATTACATTTAAGACATACAACTGCAATGAAAGTAACACAAACAATTGTGTTACAGTACTATGATACTGTACTGATATCTTCAGACTTTGTTCTTTACTTTATCCGTCGTTATATGTAGAAAATATTACGTTTTCTCCGTAATGTTGTTTCCATAACAACAACAACTTCCTGTCAACTGTCCTTCAAAATAATATATTATATCCTTTTTAGTTTCACAGAACACAAATTGGGTTATTTACATAATATATTTACATGATTTTGTTGTGCAATAAAACAACCGATGGACACACGATAAAGGAAATGTTCAAATTCGGCTGTGATCGTAGCAACATCGGGCCATTCGTGAGGGCATCTTAAGCCATCGTATGACCGCCGGTGGAGTTTCTCAGGCTCCGGCAGCAACTTCGTGAGCGGTGGCAAAATCTTTGGCATGCCAAAAAATTGCAGAAGGACCTTGAGAAGGTTCATTTTCGTGTTGAATTCGTGTGTCAATTTTGCCCTTCGTAAGGCCATCGTGAGGGCATCGTGTTATCATCGGTGCCATCGGGCATTCGCCCCGATCAGAGTGAGGGCGAATGCACCGATGATAACACGAAGATGACACGATTGGACAAGATGCCCTCACGAGTGCCTTACGAAGTTGCCGATCACGAAGTTGCTGCCGGAGCCTGAGAAACTCCACCGGCGGTCATACGATGGCTTAGATGCCCTCACGAATGGCCCGATGTTGCTACGATCACAGCCGAATTTGAACATTTCCTTTATCGTGTGTCCATCGGGTGTCAATTTCGGGACAGTGTGACAGGGCCTTTAATGGCTGGAAAAAAGAGTATATGATAAATGAAAGAATACTAGTTTGCACTATTGGTCCAAACATGTTTTTATTTGTGTTCAACACATGTAATAACTCACAGCTCCTTCAGGTGACCGAGCGAACGGATCGCCGTTGGAAACTCGACCAGACTGTTGTAGTTCAGATCCCTAAAAGAAGCAGAGAGAAGTTATAAATGACCGGGATGCATCTTGGGAATGAAAGTTGGGAATGTGACGTAGTGAAATCGGTATATCACACACACACGCACGCACTGGGAATACCTGTTCTACACTGGGATTAGCACCGCACGTCAGACATGTTTTTTTGTCTAAATTGGGAATTGACAAGTATAAGCTTCAAAACACGGGTGTCAACTTTAACATTTGAAATGTCGGGTCTGCAGTGGGAATGGTGAGCTCAGAACTGGGAAAGACCAACTGTTAACTGGTGTTTTTTAGCTTAAGACTGCTACTTACTCTAAAGTGGGATTTTTTTATTTATATACTGGGAATTGTAGACCAGGTAAGGTCAGTTTGAGTCAGATTTGAATATTAGAGTGAGAAAACCAGCACCAAACTGGAAAAGTTTAAGACCTTAACTGGGAAACCCAACTACAAAATGGGAACGGTCAGCTATAGATTGGGAAAACCAACTTTAAACTGGGAACGTTAAAGATTTAGACTCAGAAAACCAGCACCAAACTGGACACCTGTAAGACCTAGACTGGGAAAACCAACTTCAAACTGGGAATGTTAAGATTTACACTATGAAAAACCAGCACAAATCTGGAAGAATGTAACACCTAAACTGGGAAACCCAACTACAAAATGGGAATGGTCAGTTCTTGACTGAGAAAAACAACTTCAACTGGGAACTTTGATGATTTATACTGAGAAAACCAGCCCCAAACTGGGAATGGTCTGCTCTAGACCGGGAACACCAACTTTAAACTGGGAATGGTCGTCTCCAGACTGGTAATGCAGCTTTACTGTATGTTGGGAATGTCAGCTCAAGGGTAGCTCTATAATGGAAAGCCCATCTCTCTAACGCTGTGGGAATATCAGCATCCCGCTGGAAAAGTTTTCCGTGTAAATGTTTGTGTTTCATGCTTGATGTTTAGCTCAATCTTTTTTCCGTCTTTTAAGTTTATTAAGGAAACATTTCACTGCATGGCTCTTTCCTTTCATCACCAGTGAGACTAGAGCATTCCTGGAGCCGACACATGGCCTCAATTAGGTCCTCATCCATCTCTGGGATGCAGGTGGCTATCACACACACACACACACACACACACACACACACACACACACACACACACACACACACACACACACACACACACACACACACACACACACACACACACACACACACACACACACACACTTATACACTGTGTGGAATGAAGCTGCCACATTGTGAAAATACCATTAAATTGAAATTGCTTCAGTGTGTGAGTACATGTGTGTGTCCGGAGGATGATTTGTAACAACAATGGCTGCTTTCTGCCAAACTCTTATTGATGACATTTGCAGGCTCCTGATTGGATAATAGGTTTTTGATTTAGTCAGTTGAAATGGTTCGTTGGAGATCTTGATCTTAATTATGGTAATGTCACGCTGGAAATTGTGCGTGCTGATTAGATTCAACATGTTAAATTAGTGGGAGGAGGAACATCAAGAGCAGTAAGATTCCTGGAAAGCTCTCTCACAGACAACGTCAGGTGATGGAAAGCTCTAGACTGGGAAGAGAAACTCTAAACTGGGAATGTTGTGGCTCTAGGCTAGGAAAACTAACTATAGAAACTAGAAACATTTTAGTTTTAGACTGGGAGGCCAAACTCTAGATTAGGAACACTTTTAGCTCTGGAAAAACCAACTCTAAACTGGGAACGTCTCAGCTCTCAACTAGGAAAACCAACTTTAAACTCGGAAAATGTTAGCTCTAGATCTGGGAAAACCTTCAATAAAATGGGAAGTTTTACTCAAAACTGGGAACACCGAATCCAAACTGGCAACAATTTATCTCTACACTGGAAAAAACAGATTTAACCAGGAATGTTTGAGCTCTTGACTAATAACCCAACTCTAAACTGGGATAAATGTAACTCTTGATCTAGGAAAACCTTCAATAAAATGGGAATATTTTAGCTCTACACTGGGAAAAACAGATTTAACCAGGAATGTTAAGCTCATGATTGCAAAAAACAACTCTAAACTGGGAACGTTTCAGCTTTACGGCCCGTCCACACAGCAGCGTGCGTTGACGCTTGGCGGTGGGCGTATCTGAAGCTTGGGGAATTTTTGCGAGCAACGCGACCAACAACCAATCACAGGAATCTCCCGCCCCCGACATACAGAGCAATAGCAATATTAAAACGAAGTAAACTGGATATAAAATCCCCAAACAGGCGAAAACCTACCAGATTTCACCCACTGTCTCTGCCTCCTCCCTCCATGCCTCGCTCCTCCGGTTTGTATCCCGGTAGATGAACAGAGACTGATCATACAGCACCGGGTGATTCTCTACCGCTACAATGAATTTTCCCTCCATTTTTTGGAATATGAGGAAATGACCTGCGTAGTCTCTCCCAGCATACACGCGGTTTGATTGGTTAGCGCTTGTACTGGCAGATTTGCATAAACGGGATTTCATTGGCTGACGCTTCTGCCGAGGCGCCAAAAGTTGAACATTGCTCAACTTTTGAAGCGAGCAACGCCAGCAACGCTCCACGTCGCTTCCCAAAATGCAGTTCGGCTAAAAGTGACGTCACCCCATTCAAAGTGAATGGGCAGAAGCGTTGGAAGCTTCAACGCACGCCGCTGTGTGGACGGGCCGTGAGACTTGAAAACCAACTCCAGTGTGAGAACATTTAAGGAAAACCAACTTTAAACGTGAAATCTTTTCGTTGTAGATCTAAGAAAACCACCACTAAAATGGGAAGATTTACTCAAAACTGGGAAAACCGAATCTAACCTGTGAATATTTGAGCTCTAGACTGGGAAAACCAGTTTCAAACCAGTACTGTTTAAGCTCTTGACTTAAGGCCCGGACACACCAAACTGACACCAAAGAACACGCCCTGACGGACCCGACTGTTGCGTCGCCTCACCTCTCCTGCGTCTCGGCCATGTGTCGCACTGGAACACACCGCAAAGACTTCAGCCGACGGCCAAGTAGCACGTACGAACTGTGCATGCGTGAGTGGCAATAACTCTCCTTACCAGCAGGTGGCGGTAGTGTGTATTCGTCAATCAAAAGAGGCAACCGGAAGACTGCGTGATATAAACAAACAACAAATAGCGTGCAGACCATTTTCACTCTCGTCCATCACAGACTGTTTCACAGAACGACTTATAATCGAAAACATGTTTCGTGCGGTGCTGGAAAATGAAAAATAATAGCCGTCTGTGTGCCTTCTTCACTTCCGTTTCGCTTCTCATGAACTGATTCGCTAAGCTGAACAGCCAATCAGAGTGATTTCTTTTGCCGACAGCCTCCCGAATCGGTGGCGGAAGGTGTCGGCACGGCCGAAAAGACACGAGGGTGCGGGACACACCAATCTGAGTCGGGCGACAGGACGCTCATCGACGGCCAGACATCTATCGACGGCCGAAATCGGCTCGGTGTGTCCGGGCTGTTAGAAACCAACTCTAAACTGGGAACCTTTTAGTTTAAGACTCTTCACTGGAAATTGTCACATCTATACTGGGAATCCTACATCTGGGAATAGTAGGAGTGAAAGCTTTAGATTGGGAATACCAGCCCTATAAGGAAATATAACATTTGAAATGTCATCTCATGATTTCGGATATATGGGATAAGCTTTTATTAGCTCGGTGGTCGATACAATAAAACCAAAATAAGCGTTCTTCCCGATGCGTTTCTTCCTTTAATGCCATCTAAGGAATTCTTTGGTCTTGATTGACAGGTGTTCCCACTCAGTGCTGGTGGGCCTCGGAGGCTAACGCTAACCACAGACAAGCTATTTTTATGGTTTCAGCCTCAGATGTTTCTCATGTTTTGAAAGCTGGTTTTTGGGTTTTTCTGCTCACCACCATTTTCGTCACTTACTGGAACCAGAAAATCCAGGCAACAAAAAGGGACGAGGTTAGGTGAGGCTGAAGGTCCACCACCGATTAAATAGACTTTAAAACTTCGGTGTGTTTTCCTTTAAGGCTGAATGACACTCGTTGAATTCATTTATTTCTGTTTTAATTTCCGTTTTCTTTTCCTTTCTCTGTTTGTGTTTGTAATTTCAGATGAACATGAGTCTCCGGTGTGGTTTATTATTGCTTATCCTACAGGTGTGTGTGTGTGTGTGTGTGTGTGTGTGTGTGTGTGTGTGTGTGTGTGTGTGTGTGTGTGTGTGTGCGCGCATGAATAGTAATTATGATTAGCATACAGCCAGGGCCACACACACACACACACACACACACACACACACACACACACACACACACACACACACACACACACACACACACACACACACACAGAGAGAAGTATTTCCAAATGAAGGCAGTGTGTGTTTGTGTGTTTAAACCTGCTTCTATGGTTGACTGAGAAAACAGAAACATTTCTATATACACACACACATTCCTCAGATTATACACACACACACACACACCCCAACATAACCACACACACACACACACACACACACACACACACACACACACACACACACACACACACACACACACACACACACACACACACACACACACACACACCCCAACATAACCACACACAGGTTAATCTGCCTCGACTCTGAATCTAATATCCAGAAATACATCTCTTGCTAACAGCTAGAGGCAGAACTCGACCCAAAGCACCTACAATGAATGTAAAACTGAATTTATTTCTATAACAGATAGCGTAAAAATAATGGTGCAAAATTAATTTATAATGAAATTGAATATATTTGATTAAAAAAACGTATCTTTAGACCACCAACGCCTTCAGAAAACCCCTAGCTTATGGTAAATTCTGCATATTGGAAATGTCCCTACTCTCAAAAGGAGATCTTGTATCTTGGATATTATGAATATAAACAAAAATCACCTCTAATCACATCACAAGCAATTTATGATATTTAATATTAATGTTATATTTCACTTTTTAAGAAACAAACACCTCGTATAACTATTTTCTATATTTATTCACGTTAACTTTTTGGCTTTCAGATTATTGAAACCGATTCTCTTATCTTCAAAACACTTGAAAATGCTCATAATAGAGCCCTTAAAGTGCTGTATATAATAATACATTTGATTTCAAAGCGCTTTTCCAGGTGCTCAAAGACGCTTTACAGTGGTTTGATAAAACACGATAAAATAGAATAAAGAATAGAAATAAATAATAAATAAATATTAAAACAGCAGCATAATTCACAAATGAAAAGCCAGTCTGAAGAGCTGTGTTTTGGTCAGCGTTCTGAAAGTGGGGGGGGGGGGGGGGGGGGGTCGGTGCAGTCTCTGATGTGTTGTGGAAGGGAGTTCCAGAGGGAGGGGGGGGCAGCGATGGAGAAGGCTCTGTCCCCCCAGAGGGTGGGGGCAGCGATGGAGAAGGCTCTGTCCCCCCAGAGGGTGGGGGCAGTGATGGAGAAGGCTCTGTCCCCCCAGAGGGTGGGGGCAGCGATGGAGAAGGCTCTGTCCCCCCAGAGGGTGGGGGGCAGCGATGGAGAAGGCTCTGTCCCCCCAGAGGGTGGGGGCAGTGATGGAGAAGGCTCTGTCCCCCCAGAGGGTGGGGGGCAGTGATGGAGAAGGCTCTGTCCCCCCAGAGGGTGGGGGGCAGTGATGGAGAAGGCTCTGTCCCCCCAGAGGGTGGGGGCAGCGATGGAGAAGGCTCTGTCCCCCCAGAGGGTGGGGGCAGCGATGGAGAAGGCTCTGTCCCCCCAGAGGGTGAGGGTAGCGATGGAGAAGGCTCTGTCCCCCCAGAGGGTGGGGGCAGCGATGGAGAAGGCTCTGTCCCCCCAGAGGGTGGGGGCAGCGATGGAGAAGGCTCTGTCCCCCCAGAGGGTGGGGGCAGTGATGGAGAAGGCTCTGTCCCCCCAGAGGGTGGGGGCAGTGATGGAGAAGGCTCTATCTCCCCAGAGGGTGGGGGCAGCGATGGAGAAGGCTCTGTCCCCCCAGAGGGTGGGGGCAGCGATGGAGAAGGCTCTGTCCCCCCAAGTTTGGAGCTTGGTTTGTGAGGGGATAGAGAGGAGGTTCGCTTCTGATGAACGAAGGCTGCGGGAGGGGGTGTAGTGGTGGATCAGGTGGGTGAGGTAGGGGGGGGCCTGGTTATTAAGAACTTTGTGTGTTAGCAGAAGGATTTTGAAGTGTATTCGTTGACGGACAGGGAGCCAGTGCAGGTTTTTGAAGGACGGGGGTGATGTGGTCTCTGGAGCGGGTGTGGGTGAGGAGGCGGGCAGCGCAGTTCTGGATGTAATGTAGTTTATTTAGAATGTTGGATGATGAGCCAAACAGGATGCTGCTGCAGTAGTCCAGTCATGAGGTGATAAATGCGTGAATGAGGGTTTCAGCAGCCGGGAAGGAGAGTGGGGGGCGGAGGCGGGCGATGTTTTACAACGTTTGTTTTGTATTACTGGCATTATCTCACATTCATCAAGGTGGTAGTAAAAGGAAGGTTGCCGAAAATGTTTAATGACAAAAAAAAGCACATTTTGAGCGTATTTGGAATAAATCCTTTGAAGTGTCGTCTACGAATGTATAAATTAAACTTCCGTCATCTCCTAACCCCTTCATCCTGACCCCAAATCAACCCTGACTCCACCAACTCCTCCCCAACACACACACACACACACACACACACACACACACACACACACACACACACACACACACACACACACACACACACACACACACACACACACACACACACACACACACACACACACAGAGAAACTCACAGCGTCTCCAAACTGTGGAGTCCGTGGAAGCAGTTCGTTCCCGTGGAAACGATCCTATTGTTGTTGAGATGCCTATGGAGAGAGAGAGACTGATGGACTAATGAAGCAGACAAAGAGTGTGTGTGTGTGTGTGTGTGTGTGTGTGTGTGTGTGTGTGTGTGTGTGTGTGTGTCTTTTTTTTTCGAAAAGGGGGCCCCGGGCCTCTCAAGAAGGCTTTTTTTCTTTTGGTAATTTCATGCAAATTAGCTTCAAGCCGATTGGACAAAAGAAATGACAGCAGACTTCAATGCTGCCGCGCTGAATGCCATCACACAAACAGAGAGTTTTGCATGTTATTAAGGAGCTATTACTGACAGTCACTGAGGTTCAACTTAATGCAGCCGCGGCTCCTAGCAACACCCACACACACACAGGCAATAACAACAACAAAAAACTTGGCTTTGTTGGTCTTAACTCAAATTCAGATGTTCTCAGTTCAGTCAATGTAAATGTTCTGAGTTTATACGACCTAGCCTGTACATTTGTGTCAAAATCTAGCTGATTGAAACACACTGATTTAATAAAATGACCCTCAATTGCCCGACTAACTTACTTGCCAGTGATAACGAGTTAACTAACTAATTGACTTTACTGGCTAATATTGAACTTGGCAATCCAACGGACTAAACAAAACAAGTTTACCTTCTACTCACTGCTGAACATAGTAACTAACTTGGCACTAACTGGCAAATATATAAGCAAACTAATTAACCAACTGTCTAAATACTAGCTTATTTCCTAGGCTACTAAACCAATTGTCTAAGAGACTAGCTACAAACTTTCTAACTAGCTATCTTGCTACTCGTAGCAACAGTCTAACATAACTACTAACCAAATGACATAAGGTATTAGCTTAGCTAAGCTTCTAACAGATATTAGCTAACCAGCTGCTAACTCACCGACTAACACAATAGCTAACTTAACATTACTTCCGACTAACTTCCTGACATTGTAGCTAACTTGCTACAATTAACTGTCCATCATACCGGCTAACCTAAAATTACTTCTGACTAACTGCCCAAGATATTAGCTAACCTAACCAACTTTCTAACATAGCTAAC